TGATTTCTTCTTCCAGTGAGGTAGGACTTAAATAGTTGTATTAAAGGATCAGATAATCCATGAGATTTCAGCTTATGCAATAGCATCCTGTGATCAACTCTGTCGAAAGCCTTGGAGAAGTCTGTGTAGACCACATCTGTTTGTAATCCTCTGTCAATGTTTTCTGCTATGGTCTGTGTGAAGTTCATCAGATTTGATACTGTTGAGCGCCCTTTCATGAAACCATGTTGTTGAGCACATATTTTTCTGCTGACATGATGATATAGTCTGTTATATATTAATATCTCTAGAGCTTTTGAAAAATTGCACAATATTGATATAGGTCTAAAATTTGATACATCATTCCTACTGCCGTTTTTGTGTATTGGACATACTTTAGACAACTTCCATAGTTCTGGAATTGTGCAGGTGGTAAGGCACAAGTTGAATAAAACGGTCAAAGGACACGCCAACACAGAGGCACAGTCACGCAAAATAAAAGCTGGTACATTATCCGGTCCGGTAGTCATCTTAGGTTTTATTTGCTTCAAGGCTAAGACAACTTCATCCTCCTCAAATCTAGTAATATTGAGTGGTTGTTCATTGCTCATTAAAAAGTCATCAGTTTCTTCGGTGGCTGACGAAGACAAGTAGTATTGGAGAAGTTATCCGCAAAAGCATTAAAATGTCGTTCGGTTCCAAAGTTCATTGCCATTGTAAATCATCCTACTTGATAAGTTTTGTTGATTTTCGCTTAGAATTTAAGAAGCCCCAAAATTTATTTTCGAATCTCTTGTATTTCGTTCTCAGCTTGTCTGACATATATTTTGTATGCTTCATCTGACTCTATCCTAATTTTTGATCTAAGTTCCCTGAATGTCTGATACGTTTTAGGATCATTGTTGCGTCTATAAGATCGGTGAATCTTCTCCTTGCGTTTGATAAGCTTAATTATTGCTGAATTGAACCAGGGTGGTATTTACGTTTCGTTGCTCGGGCATATTTTGGAACACAGGTATCAAAAGCATTGTACAGTTTATTATAAAAGAACTCACACGCTTCATTCGCGTCATGAAAGCCATCTAAAGCAGCCCAATCCATGTCTGAAATTAAATTATATAATTGGGGGAAGTTGGCTTTGCGGAAATTATAAGAATTTATAAATGAAACAGGAAAGTTATGCTTAGTATTGAGACTGCTGTTGACATTACAACAAATATTCAGGGCAGGGTGATATGGGTCTTCATCTAGCAGCGGATCCCACGAATGTTCAACCTCACACAGACCACTACAGAAAACTAAATCAAGGGTATTGTCCATAGAATTTGAAATATTGTTAAACTGATTAATAGCAAGACCCTCAGCAAAGTGTTCAACGATACCAATTTTGCGTTGCGTCCATGACTATTAGCATAAGAAGTGTAGTTAGCTATGTTGAAATCCCCTGTTATAACTAAATTCCTATCAAATAGGACGTGCGATGACAAGATAGCATCATAAAATTGCTCATATTCAGCATTGGACTTATCAGGTGGTATGTAGACATTGCAAATGTAAACTGAAAAAGAGTTGGTACAAACCTTGACTGCTACTACATCAATCTTTAGGGCAGAAAGTACTGCCAACTCAGGTATCTCTATCAAAGATGCTGTAAAAAACGCTCATCAATCGCAATCAACACACCACCACCTCTTGAGCAACCAGTGGTTACATAATCTCGATCTGTCCGGAAAACATTATATGTAGTTGGAATAAATTCACTACTCATACATGAGAAATCTAACCAGGTTTCAGTTATTGCAATGATAGGATATTCACACCTACAAATAGCATTATAAAAAACAGCAGCTTTCGTTCGGAGTCCACGAACATTTTGGTAGTATATTAGAGGTTGCAGCCTATCACTACAATTAGAATCTACTCCCTTGTGAGTTACGACGAAGGGATGCATTGGTTGCTACTGACTGAGTAGGTCGTGTCTTAATCTATCAAGGGCTTCATTGTATGCCTTGCATTTCTGCTTATCCCAAACAGCATGATCCGTTTGCACACTACCATCTTTCTGTTTAAGTTTCATACAGTTTGAGCATTTACGAGTCTGTGATTTGCAATGTTTGACCTCATGATTCTCGCTACAGAGTGGGCAAACAACTGCGCTTTTACATTTGCTAGAAGAATGATGGAATTCATTACATTTAAAGCAACGATACACATCAATAGCATCGTAAACAGCGCAATTGTCATACCCCACAAACAAGTAACCAGCTTTAACAATTTTGTCATAACTACTCCTATCCACCTGAACAATAGCTTGATATACAGAAGGGTCTTTTTTAGTAGGAAAGTGCTTAACAATTTTACATTCAAAATCATCTTCGAAGATATCAGTATTTCCTTTTAATAACAAGTGCCGTAATTTATCATCTGAATATTTATCTGACATGCCACTAGCCGAAACCCACAATTATGCTTCAAGTAAAACAAAACAAATATAAACAAAGATGAAACGAATGTGGAAATGTAAAATCACGATGCAAAAGCCTTGTTTAGATATCCTTACTTATTTCGGTTGGATAAGTGACTGCGCGCTTCCGCTCCAGACATGTGTCAAATTCCATTAAACTGTTTGGGATATAGCCCACTAGATAGATATTTCAAAATTATTTCCCGTAATAAAAGGTAGCCTATGCACTATTCCATATTATAATTCTTGTACCAAATTTCATCCAGATCCCTTCAGCCATTTAGGCGTGATTCAGTTGCAGACATCCAGTCTTTCTCAGTTATAATATTAAGTAGGGCTTTCTGGTAGTGTATCCTTTGGATCCGAAGCAATCGGATCGCCAAGGCGGTGGCCATTTGTAGTATTATTTTCAGTATAGCATTGTGATTTTCGTCCATGATCCGTTGACACGCATCGGAACAATTGAGCCCTTAAAAAATTCTTATCCAGATTGTTGATGGTTCGATACGAATCAGTGGTCGAGGCCCTACTATAATTATTCCGGTACTTACATACATATCTGGATTGCCACTTTATTTAGCTGTAATCAATACAGGTACAAAGAAGATAATCTTGTAAACCCATCTGTTAAAAATGAAATACAAGTATTTTCATTGAGGCCAAAGCAGACGTACTCGGAATTTTTTGAAGCCATAAACCGACAGGATGATACGTACTACGTTGTCTCGTTTACTGATCAGCACATGTTGCTACCTGCGCTAAACCACAACAAAACTAGAAGACCAAAGATGTCTCTCATTATGCCATCTGTTCTACCAAATGGTAAGCTCATTTCATTGTTCATCGGATGCAAAAAAGTATTACGTCACTATTGTTTTTAAACAACTTGATGAGGTTATGATATATTGTAGTACAGATGCAAAATTATACACCCTATTTCACGAGTACCCATCACGTTTTGACTACTGATGTGAACAAGTGAAATCTTTGTATTAGTCTGTAACCTTTGGCAATAATGCATTGGGTGCAAAAGTAGTAAAACTTGCTTCTAGTATGTTTTGTATGCAAATCAACTTTTTTTGAATAAAAGAGTTGTTAGCAAGTACAAAATGAATTTGTAACGTACAAAAAACCAAAAGAATATACGGCTCTGTCTACCTGACCTTGATGGATCCGTCAGAATTATCTGTCCTTTGTCAGCTGTCATTCTACCGTAATGGATACTCGTGAAAACGACAATAGGCATGTTCAAACGGTTCATTTAACCGAAGGAGTGTCAAAAAAGTGTCGCTCAACTTTTTGTGTTAAACTGAATTGGTTAACTATATCCAACTGACCATAACCGTCAGAAATTCGTTGCCAGAACAGGTCTAATATAATCTGTTTTTCAGGATACTTCATGTTTATTGAGATTAATAACTCAACAAAGTGACTTCTTTACCCTATCTAACGAGTATCCATCACGCTTTCACGACTACTGAGGTGAACAGCTGATTAGCAAGTGACATTTTTGTGTTAGTCTGCGACGAAGGAAATCAACTTCTACCCCTATGTCACGAGTATCCATCACGGTAGAATGACAGCTGATTATCTAGTAATATCTCAAAATTCCCCATATCGGCACAGGACACATAATTCTGACAGATCCGTCAACGCCAAATAGACAGAGCCGAATTTTGTTTTGGTTTGTTGTACGCTAAAAATTCATTTTGTACTTGCTTACAGCTCTTTTATGTAGACAAACTTATTTGCATACAAAAAGCAAAAAGCTACAATCAAGTTTTACTAGATTTATACCCGATCCATTATTGCCAACGTTGCAGACTAACACAAAAATGTCACTTGCTGATCAGTTTTTCACCTCAATAAACGTCAAAGCGGGATGGATACTCGTGAAATAGGGTATGTGTATGGGTGTATGAAGTATTGATAGAGAAATGAAATCAATCACATAAATGCATTGCTATAAAGAATAAATCAGTTAAAAATAGTATCTGTATTGCAAGTATACAAGTCAGACATTGCCCAGTACATCGTAACCTGTCATGAATATAGTGTAATTTTGTTGGTGGTGTGAGGCTGAGGCCCGTATCGTCAGTCGTCTCTACAATTGTAGGGCGCGTTTATGGCCTCCTTGATTGTCATAGTTTTCTACTTCTCCGTGTCAGCGCTCTATTTTGAGGTTATGTCACAAACATCTATTTGCATCAAATTGTGCTTGCTTTTGAGTTATATCATGTTTTATGAGCCTGAAATTTCCTACAATTTAAAAAGAAAACATATCTTCACAATAGGAGAGAAAGGAGTATGACAATCAAGGAGGCCATAAACGCGCCCTACAATTGTAGGGACGACTGACGATACGGGCCTAAATCATACTCTGTAGGTCTGTAGTTACCTACTATGGACTGTGGTAAGCAAAGCTTCATCAATTTTGGCCTAAAAGACAAGGTTAAAAAACCACTTTAAAATAAAATAATCTCAAAATACTCTTTGGGGTCTTGTAAAGCAAGGTTTAAACTTTAATTTAGATACTAGTGATTCAAAAATTACAATGTTCAACTGAGTTTTTTAGCATTGAATATACCCATTTTTTGTTCAGCATGATCCGAAAAATCTGGAAAAAATTATTCCGGACAAAAAAAATAATTTGTTTAAAATAATTCTTTAAGCAAATTTGATCTGGGTCACCAAACGGGTATATTCAATGCTTTATAATTTTTGAGGTCGCCAAGTATCTAAATTTAAATTATAACCTTGCTCTACATGACCTTGAATTTTAAGATTACTTTATTTTAAAGCGATTTCAAACTCTTGTTTCATGCTAGAATTGGTAAAATTTTAGCTTTCACTGACTGTAAATATACAAATCTCTCGTATTATGTTGTGTTCCTTAATGGTGAGGTACAAATTTGGCTGAAGGCGTAATGTGTACGAGAGAGAAGGGTGCATGTTAGAAAGAGTGGTATATGGACTTCACTTTATAATGACCTCATTACATACTCAATACTAGCAGATTGCAACTATACGTTCAATTCAATTTTTCAGCCACGTTTTCACAAACAGAGCTCATCCCACTGATGCAAATTGACTGTGAAGTGTTAGACACCAAACTGATACATGTGAAACATGGATCTATACCACAACATCTTAGGGGCTTTAGCAATGATACCAAAAAAGAAGCTGGTGAGAGTACTGCAAGTGATAAAAAGTATAAAAGGCCCTATAAACCATATTTTGTCAATAATAACCTATTGAAGCCTAGTGGGGGTTTTTTGGATTTAAACTAGATTAATTGTAAAATGGATTTTGGACATAATTGCAAAATAAATAAATTAATAATGATCTGTGTCTACTTCCCACACCTAAAGACAAAACCTAAGAGCAAATAAGAAGGTAGCATGAGGTAGGTGCAGTTTGGGAATATATCTTGGAGCTATATAGAAGTACAGCCACATACTTGTTTTGTTGTAGTGTCTGGTAATTCAAAATAACGTACTCCATTCTGCAATATTTATTCATGTTAATTCTTAAAATGTGATAATACTTTTATGGCTATCAGTAATTGAGAACATAATATGATTCGCTAACAAAAAAATGCATCTGATCATTTTATATTACTTAAACTCTGGAGTACTACCACCAAGATAATTCTTCAATACTTCCCTTGTAACTTGCACCAATTTCACTCTTACAAACTCTGAATTCAGCCTATGGTGTGCAGTGTATCTATGACATCCTCCAAAGCAGTAGTAGTAGTTGCCACCTTCTGATCCTATCACCCACAATATGTCCAATGGAGGAACAGTATTGGATTTCTCTGGATCAGACAGGACTTTCATCAGAGATTTGACCTTTTTTTCATCCAATTCAGGTATAAATGGTCTTGATATTGCTGAGAATGGCATTTCATGGACTTCTTCTATCACATCTGAGTGTATGCTGATGCGCGGCATTTTGCTATCGACGAAAAACAGGATAATGCGGGTTTCAACTCAAAAGTGCTATCTCGTTGATCGGAATTTTATCATTTATGTAGGTTATGGGATTAAAATCTAGTAATAACTATGAACATGCAACTTTGAATAATACAAGTGCATTAGTTGACCTTCATCTAACAATTAGTGATGATTCATGCAAGTGAGGCTGTCGAACGAATACATGCACATGAATACGAGATGAACACAAGCAGGAAGGTATTAAATGTATTTTCAAGAGAAAGAACAAAAGTGATAGATAAAACTTGCATTTTCAAGAATCACCCAAAGACCTTTGGTTCAAATTTTTGTGCGAGGTCCACAGAACATAAAAACAAGATTGTCAAAGAAATGCATAATCAGGCACAGAACACGAACGTACGAATTCCCCTAAAAAGTAGTTTTTGTTTCATCGTCCTTAATTATTTTGGGTGCTGTTGCGTCTTGTAGAACTTCCGATTTCACTGGTTTTTCTCTTAAAACTTTTAGAGGGTAGTCTGATAGATTATTTAGAAACAAAAAAGTGTGGATGAAGCACGCTGTTCATGAAAATTTTTTCGCAAAACATTGTAGTTTTAGCTGTTCTTTCCATCATTATCTCATCTCTGATTATCTCCACCGCCATCTATCCTACAAGACTTAGACGTCTGTGCATATGTCATAAATGAGGCGCTTGCCTGCGGTGTTGCCGGATTAGAATCCGCATTTAGGGAAAAATATGAAAAGTTGAAAATTTATATACATGTATATTATTAATAATTAAGGAATCACAAAAACGGATAACTGAAACAAACAACAGTAGCAAAATAAAAGGCGATTCTAAGTGATTATAAAAAAACAAAAAATAAGAACAGTAGTAGAACAAAAAAAAAACAATTCCACGTTGAATAAAAAGCAATTCTAAGTGACAACACAAAACAAAAAGTAAAAACAGTAGTAAAACGAAGAACAATTTCATTCCATCCAAATTGCTTTTTATTTTACTGTTTGATATTTTTTGTTTTTTTTTGTTTTACTACTGTTGTAACTTTTGTTTTTTATAATCAGTTAGAATTGCTTTTTATTTTACTGCTGTTTGTTATTTTTTGTTTTATACTTAGTAAGAATTACTTTTAATTATACTACTGTTGTTTGTTTCAGTTTTTTGTTTTTGTTTCATAAATATAAATGTATATAAATTTTCCACTTTTCATATTTTTCAAGGAAGGAAGGAAAATTAGAATAGAGACCGATTTTCATGATTCTAACTCCTATTATATTGAACTAGATGCATTCTTGAACCGCCGGTTTTTGACAACTTTTATACAAATCACAGAACACAACATAATTACTTATTTATATATTTTGTGGTGTACATGTTTTATGATATAAAAATTTTAAAAAGATTATTTACAAACTTTAACGATTTTCTTCACTAAGCTTGAGTATCTTTTTTACAAACATCTTCCTAATGGCATAGTTCCTACGGTTACTAAGAATTTAAATTTCCCTTGACATTTTTGTCAGATTGCTTTTAGCAGCGGCAGGACCGTCACTTTGTTTACTTACAATTTTGTTCTTTTTATCTCGAATATAAATGAACTAATAACAAATGGTTCCCAAAAACAAATTGAAAACCTATGCTGGTCCAAACAAAAGCCTGGTAAACACCTCCGTCGATGTATTCAACAAATTATTGGCGAAGAACTTATCAAGAAGGATAATAGGAGTGAGGAAAAACAGAAAGCAAAAGAAAACCTTTATAAAAGAATTGCCTGAAAGAGCAGGTCGCACCCTGCTAACTGATGACTCCTTCCACATTTCTACAGAAGATACATTTGACAAGCTATTAAAGACATCTATTAAAAATAATGTTGGTCGGAGATCCCTTTTAAAGTATGGAAACAAGTCATCAAGATCACCAGTGTGGACAAGGAGTAAAAGCAAGAGTTTTTCTCGAATTGAAAACTCTGCTTCACAAAATGGGTTAGGAAGCCTAGTTAAAACGAGTGGTGTTAGTGAGAGTGCTTCTCAAGGTGGTGCTTGGCAAATATCAGATGCATCAAAAACAAAACATACTTCATGTAGTGTATGCAGAACACCAGTTCGGATGCAGCCTGATGGTAGTGTTTCACAACACAGAAACATTTTTCAAGCATCAGATAGACAACATGATAAAAGCTCCAGTAACTTTCTTTTGCAAAGGTTTCAACAAACTACAATTGATCCTGTGTATGACAGTATAGCAGTAGAAGTAGTCAAGCCAGCTAGGAAAAGTGTGTATTCACCAATAAGTTATATCAAGGTATTTATTTACAACAGTAGCATTCATTTTCTACAGTTTTATCTATATCTACCTGTTCAAAGATTTCTAATTATTCCTGGCAGGAATCTGTTTTGCTGCACTTGGAGCATCTTGTGCATTCCACACTAGTACAGTTGTATTCTTTATATTCATAGACATCCACAAGAAGTTGCAATAATTACCAACCCTACCATGAAATCTGTGAATAATAACTTTGCGAGACCCTAGTGTAAAGTTTTCAGCTGACAAATGAAGCACACATTTTCAGTTAAAAATGATTTCATTTTTCTACATAATCCCTTTCGGCTTCAACACATTTCTCCACCATTAGGATTCCTTCTTGTAAGTGAAACTGTGGAAGGCTGTTAGAATATACATTTACCACCCTCTGAACTCCCTGATTGCATCCAAAGCACTTTCTGGATAGAAATTTCTCCAAATTTGGGAATACATGAAGTCTGTAAATGCCTAATCAGGAGAATCGGTGTGATGGTCGAACAAATATACTCCAAATCTCACAGTTTTCCCATTGCTCTGATACACCTTTGTGAGCAGGTGGATTGTCCTGATGAAAAATGATCTTTATTTTCAAGTCAGGCCTCTACCATGAAATTTGGCATCTAGTTGATCAAGTAGGTTGGTTCATCCATTATTGTTCTCCCCTTTTCAAGGTAATTGACAGAATCTCCTTCACACCCCAAAGCACACTGACCTTCCAGTAGATGCAATCAACTTGTCTTTCTTTGTCTCTGTTCCTACCTACTGCTTTGACTGCTGATATGAGTGTAGTGGTAGACCCGTTATCATCCATTGCTGCACAAAATCTGTCAGGTACTTATTGAATTGGTCCAAATGCGACATCATGCAGACCTTTGAAATTCAAGTTTATCCATGCAACATTCGCACTACAAAGGTTCTTGTAGAGAGGCTACTTGAGAGTACAAGAACTTGTCATACGAACATGCATGCAAGAATTATAAACTTTCGATGATTGGTGTGCCACTTCTCTTTCAGGTCCAGAACCCTCCACATTATTCTCATATAGCTTTTTTTGGCGAACATCTACTTTCTCCTTTTTCAAGGTGCTTTAGCATTCCTTTGGTATCTTAGCAATCCAGTGCATGTTGGAATAATCACCAAATCTCCCGTTAAATCTGAATCAAGTGTACATGCTAATAATGCGGAGTTCTCAAAGTTGGCACCCTTTCAGTAACTCCTACGTGCAGTAAAACAACAACGAAAAGTAAGAACAAGGAAAATATTCTATAACCCGCTATATTGCTTATAAATACTTTACAAAGTTCAGCTTTTGATTCAAAGGTGTAAGTCTAAATTTTCCTACTGTGCCAGCCTCGACATTCATTTAAACGGCCTTGTACGTTACAAACAAACCTTCTCGGCGCAAGATGCAAACGTCCAGGAAATCGAAGTGCATACAATGGCGAAGCAACAGCAGCATCTTGAAGACACCGTAAATATCAATCGTCATATTCGTGATTGCGATAGCAACGTGCCATTTTCGGTTGGTTTACCTACACGACGCGCGCTGCCTGGCTTGGATAACTGACGCACGTCGTATCCTCCAGGCTGATAGATTGACTGGACGAGGTGGCGGCTTGGCAGTGCTAGTGAAACGCGGTATTGACTACCACAGAAGCACAAACGCTGAGATGCAGAGCATCGAAGCGGCTTCTGTGGTGGTCAATATGACGGGAGGTGTGCCATTAGAAATCACATCGGTGTATGTCAGGTGTGGTATCAGGCTGCAAGAGGCGGATCTGGAAGTCCTTTTAGACTGCTCGGATCCACTTTTTGTGGCAGGGGACTTACCGCCGGCGTCCCTCAGGGTTCGGTCCTTGGACCTATCCTTTACTCACTGTACATCCATGACGTCCTTAGTCCCAGCAACTGTGAAGTCTGACGATACTGCATTGGTGGCTCAGTCGTGGTCTGGTGACCTAGTTCATGACAGGCTGCAAAGTGCGGTGGAGGAAGTATTAGATTGGGCGGATCGGTGGCTAATTAAAATAAACCATGCGAAAACGCAGGCAATCTACTGTACAAAAAGACGTCGTTCCGTCTGAAGTTTCAATGAATGGACTTCATATAAGTATCTCGGTGTCATTCTGAACAAAGGGATGACTTGGCGGAACCATATAGAAGCGCTAAAAACTAAATTCCAAATTACGTTTCGACAGCTTTACCCATTATGTAAACGTTCAAAATTAAGTTTGATTAACAAGATTCGACTCTATAAGGTGGTCATAAGACCAGCAATGACTTACGCATGTGCGGCTTGGTGTTTTATTGCTAAATCACACATGCAAAATCTGCAGGTTCTCCAAAGCAGGACGTTGCGCACTATTGCTGATGCCCCATGGTATGTCTCTAACGAAACTCTACATAGAGACCTCGATGTCCCTTACCTAAAGGACTACATTAAGTAACAGGCGCAGCGGCGCTATAGCCTAGCGGAATCGCACAGCAACCCTCTGTTGCGTGAGGTTAGTGGACTACACAGTCGAGCAAGTTCGCAAGCACAAAAGGCCGCGGCTCGCACTGTAATCAAAATTAACTCGTGAACTTAAAACAACCAAAATTGGAGCATTTTGACAAAATCTTTAGAAAAAATCGAATATTTTTAGACCATATCAAAATCTGTGAAGTGATTTTAACAATGCCTAAACGCTGCCTATCCTAAAAGATTCTCTTCTTCCCCGTTGCTCTCGTTCTTCCTTCTCTCCTTTCCTTCCCTTTTTTCCTTAAAATTGTCTGGTTTCTGGGTTACCAGACCTGACAGACTTACAAACTGACACTGTGACTCAAGAGCTAAGGTCCCACGGACCGCTCTGACAACCAACGATGACTTGACCTAAGAATTGTTGATCATTTGAAAGGTCTAGAGATTGCGGAGGCCTCTGAAGCAGATTTAGTCTGGACGCTTCTAAAAAGTCTAAACAAACACCTGCGACATGAGGTCGTGCATTGTCCTGCTGAAAACGTGGATCTTGTAATATTTCCAAAAAGGTAAGCAGATATGGTTGTAAAACACTAATCGCGCTGGCGTAAGCAATGGCACCCCATACCATAACACCCACAGTGCGATGAATATGCCGTTCGATAGAATATTGGACGTTCTGTCCTTCACCATGTCTCCTCCTTACTCTTGCACAGCCATCATGTGTGCCCAAACAGAATTTGGACTCATCGCTGAACAAGACTAGGTTCCATTCCATATTCCATTCAAGTATCTCCCTACTCCCGACCAATCGTTGCCGGCGATGCTGTGAGGTCAGAGGTAGTACAAGATGGGAATGGTATGAAAACAGTCCAAAATACGAGTTGGCTGAGGGAGTCAACACTGATTACCGACAACTAATCCGCTGTTCGTACAGAAACTTCTGACTGTTTGATGACTGTCAAATTAGTCAGCAGATAATTTGCCAGTAAATTGTCAGACCTCGAAATCAAGTACAATAATTATTCGAATGTAAAATTTTTCAGAATGAAGTAGACAATTTTGGAAAAGTTGGGGTATGTCTACTTTCTGTAAACCAGAATGATCTAGCATTTATCGTCCAACTGCCAGAATTTTCCTCTAGAGAGGAAAACATGGGGCACTTTCTAAAAAAATAACAGCACACAAAAATGTCAAGTAGATTTACTCAGTAATTCCCATTCAATTCTTATTTAAAAGGTATAAACATAAATTCGATGAAATACGATTCCACACATCGAATGACAAGTTGAAGAAGTAAATAGTTAGAATCCTGAATAAACGTCTGCAGTGATGCATGATAAATGTACAAGGTATTGTGAATAACATTTAATAAAACTCGGATAGTAGTGTTTTTGTTCCCTGTTCCCTTGTCGCCCAGCCTCGAAGTGTAAGCACAAACAGTATTTATATATTCTAGCTATGCAATTCCAACCCAAAGCTGATGAAAAAAAAACAAAATAACGAAATTTGGAGATTTTGTGAGACACCTTTTTTTCACGGGTGCCCACGGAGAGGGAGTTACCGACTGTTTCTGCTGGGTCGAAAATAATATTCCCCCTATACAAGGTATTTAAAAGTCGCTTAAATAGAGGCAAAGTTGCGTATTAAGATTATCAGCAAAACGTCGCTTAGAAAGTTTTGAAAATGATAGAGACATAAAAAACGAAAATTCCCAAAATGGTTTTAATCTTCTCCTGGCTTTATTTGTGGTGGGATTTCATAATAAATTGCACATCAACTCTGACACATTTGCTCCTCTACAAGACGGCATAATTAGAATTTCAATATGACGTTTCATCTCTTGTCCTCCAGCATCAACTTAATTTTTTCTTGTAGACGTCATATTGGATTTTTACACACATGAATAGAATTTTTATTCGGATTCTTAGTTAGTCCAGAGGTTCCTAGGTAGGCCTTGAAATTATCATATTTCATTTGTTTGCAGTTTGTTTGAGTTTATAGTACTTGTACTCAACTCAAATTTGTTGTTTAATAATAATAATAATAACAGAGTTTGGTTATTATTTTTATTACCATCAACAAAATTTTAATTTCGTGTTCCGGTTTCACCATAACTTTTTATTTCCTTATGATTTTCATCCAACCATAAAATTATGGTCATCTAATGGAACACATCACTGAATTTAGGGCTGAAAAGTCCATTTAAATGTACAAAATTCAATATAGCGTCTGTATGAAAAAGCAAACTTGATGATGGAAGTCGAAAGAAGAAATGTCGAATTGAATTAATTGAGAATAAGTAACATTGACAATATACAATTTATTTTGAAATCCGATCTCAAATAAAGTCAGGAAAAAATAAAGCGATTTTGGGATAAATCTGGTGATCAAAACAAATATCTGATAATTTCAAAGCCTTCTTGTAAATAATTAAGGTTTGGCAACGTTAGTGTATCAAAATTACAAATTCTATTCATTTGTCTAAAAATCCAATACAGCATCCTTAAGAAATAATAAAGAAATGCTGGAGGACAAGAGAAAAACCTTCATATAGAAATTCTGATTATGCCTTCTTGATAGGAGAAAACGTGGCAATGTTAATGTGCAATTTATTTCAATGTCCCAATATAAATACCGTCAGAAAAAAATCAAAACGATTTTAGGAAAATTCAATTTTTCCGTCACTCTCCGGAAGTACTTTGAATTTTTAAACATTGTCATTTCGTTGACTACCCCATCTAAGCGACTTCGAATCCCTTACAGTTTCCAAGATCTCAAAAAATTTTCAGCTGATTAGTGAATACAAAAATCATATTAATTATGGTTCTTGAAAGTTCGGTCCTCTATTGTTCGGATTTTTCATACTGCATTCATAATCTTCATTTTGCCATTACCGAGTGAATAAACAAAATACTTCTTCTACCACTTGCTCACCCGAAAATGTTACAAAAGTTTGTTGTTTTCCCCAAAAATGCAGGGTTTTGGGTTTCATTCTCTACTCCAGTAGTTATTCAAGGTCTTTATCTTCTTGGTATATCGCTCAGTTTTTTTTTTTACATCTAAGCAGCCACGCAGGTGAAGCCTACATGCCAGGGCACCGCCGCTGCTTTGAGGAGCTTGAAGAAACTTTGTTATTCCTATTTTTGAACTGCCTAAAGTTATTAGAACAGGAAAAAGCTCCCATTGGAGATTGTTACACGACCTCGACACCCTCGGCACAATGGAGCGGTCTTATCGGTCAGTTCTGGATGTACGAAGTTCGACACGGTTACGATGGGAGGCGGAAGACGGGCAGGCACATGGCGCGGCGACACCATTTAAGAGAGCTCTGAGGAGCAAAGCCCGTTGGCGCAGCTACATCGACAACGGCCCGTCCGTGTGGAGGTGTCCCCAGACCGTCCATTAGAGAAGAGTAATCGATCATTAAATGCCTTTTGCGAAGCAATTTTAGTCGTCAAGATAGTTTGGACACATTCTGATACCTGTCACTTTCACTGGTTGACTGGTTTCCTCTGATCTGTCAGAAGGTTCTGTACGAACAGCTAACATCTCTCTGATTCTGATTTTGACAGTCACCGACAAGTTACCGACTACTGTACGATCAAACCATATATCATCGTATTTTATCAAAATTCAATAGATAATTCTGGGTGTTGCATTTTATATGCTATTTAGTAAATGCAACTTTTAACTGTATAAGCCTGTTGACTATCTTGATCAATTTAATTTTCTTGTTATACATATTTGTAGCAAACTTTTTTCTCTGAGAGGCCAACTTGTGCTAAACATAATCCATATAACTAACTATAAGATTGCTGCGTAGGAAGTGCAGAGTCAACCTGCCCCACGGCATTTTTTCTGAAATGTGCAAGCACGTGATAGTTCCAGAACGGTTCGTCGACGGGATGGCACAAAATTCTTAAACCTTTGCTATATATGTTACTAAGAAAATTTGCTTATTCACACAAGAATTATAGGCTATGGAAAGTAAGCACTTTGAGAACTCTATATATCTAGATGTCTTTCGATGCGCGAACAGCTTTTGTCGCCGTTTTAGTAAAAAAAAAAAATTGTCGTTATTGTTGTTTGAATTTTTAGGTACCTGATGTATCCAAAATAAAAAATGTCTCTGCTGACACCACACTGCCATACAGTTTCGTAAAAAGCTTCAGGGATCAACCTGTAGCCAACAGTACACCATTTCAGCCTAATAGACATAGGACTGTGTTCCAATCAAAAGAACCAGATACCTTGGAGGGCACAAATATACTGCAAAAGTCGCTTGCAGAGATACAGAGTTGGGGTGAAAAAGTCCCCGATTTTACTGATCCAGCAAAAGAAACCGAAAAGTCCAGAAGTAGCCTGGATGCACTGCCAGGTAAACACGTCAAATATTGAGATGCAGCATTTTACAAACATGTGTTCATTTTTATCTTTATACAGGGCCCACCAGATGTCGACGTTGAGCCGGAAACCGGGGATAGGCCAAGTCATAATAGTTATCAGAAAAATATAAAAAACCGAAGTCGTATACTTTTCAAATTATAGGCTTTAAAGAAAATCAAACAGAAAATTTACAGCTTAGTTCCCATTACTATAAATTTCTATTTTTTCTTAGGCAGAGTGACGGACCGTGTGATTCAACGCAGTGACCGCGAAACTGATAGGAATGCCAGTTTTATTAATTCATGATTGTTTAGTGCCACCATGTCTGTGTACACTGTACAGGAATACGCCAACATTCACCTCATTTATATGGAATGTAGATGCAATGCTAGTGCTGCAGCTAGGCTTTATGGTGAGAGATACCAAGATGGTTTACCCTCGGAGGTACGATTCCTAAATCAAGCAAATGGGGAAGGAACATTTCTTTTCCTTACGAGGACGTGGTACTACAGCATCCCACAAACCGGCGCGAAATATTCGCTTTGGCTGCGAAAATTTCGCGGCGATGAATTCGCGATCAGATTAAAACGCAGCGGTTTACGGACAGGCTCAGACTTGTGCGAAGCGAATGCGATTGTTCCAGCGTTTTTATCGCGGCATATTTCAGTTCGCCTTTGACCGCGTTTTTGACGCCGTTCTTCAAAAATTCGTAATGGCAAAAACGGAATTATTGATAGAAATAGTGAAAAAGTATCCTTGTTTGTATGATTTGTCGAACGATGAATACAGGAATGTGAGAAAGAAAGACAAGATTTGGATGGAAATAGGAAAATAATTAAATACAAATGGTATGTACCTAATATTTTTTATTAACTTGTTAAATAATTTACAGTTTACACAAATGTGAAAACGAACATTCTATATATTGGGCATAGGCATATCAGAATTAAAATAATTTACGAATTTGTCACGAGTAGAAAATGCTAGCCTTGCTGCCCGCCGAGGATCATTTGCTATATCAGTAAAAGCTCCAAGCACGGGTTCTGGGGGATCTAAGAATTGAAAATATTTGTCATCGCCACTTTTACTTCGTAAAAAATTGTGTAAAACGTACAATTAGAATAGTAGTATCTACTTTAGTTTCTAATGGCCTGTAAAATATTCGCCATTTTTGAGACAAAATACCAAACGCATTTTCCACGACCCTTCTAGCTCGACAAAGTCTTACATTGTATTTCTCTTTTCTGACGTCTGTTAAAGTCTGCTTATAAGGAAATGGTCTCATAAGGTATGGTTTTAAAGCAAATGCTTCATCACCAATTAAGACGTACGAGCAGATTTCATTTTGCCCAGGGAGAAATCTAAGTGCAGGGACACTCATTAAATTTTGTTCAAATCGTTTTCCCATGTTTGAGGTTTCGAAAATACCCCCATCACTATTTTTTCCGAAACCACCAATATCAACACATATAAATTTATAGTCCGGGCCAACAATGGCCATAAGTAATTTTAATACATATAATTCTTTTACCTGAGTGTAATAGCAAGTTGTTCTTCTGGCGAAATAGCTTCACGATAATTTATGTCAGATTTTCGTATTTCATCTTTCACCAAGTTCAATATTTCATCGAAACACTCTGGAGTCATTCTAAAATATACGTAAAAGCGCTGTTCATCCAGCCGAAGTTGTGGCATCAAGGTATGGTATTCCCCAAATTTATTTCGTTCCAAGTTAATATCATGTACCCACTTCCTTCGTTTCCTAAACAAAATTGAAAATATTTGTTTTATGTACTTCGTTAAACTTAATACATACCCAACTATCCAATGGCGTTAAATAAACATAACTTACCGTGCATTTTGTTCCTCTTCTAAAGCAAGAAATAGAAGTGTCTCCTCTTCTTCTGAAGACGAGCTCATTGCAAAAGGCAAAAATAAAATGTACGCAACCTGTCGAAACCTTCACGTTCGCGGAGCGAATAAGACGCTTCGGTATGAATAAACAGGCGAAACAGATTGCGAATTTCGCTCTGAATTTTGTTGCGAATACTTCGCCGCGATTATTTCGCGCCGGTTTTTGGGATGCTTACAAGCAGTGCGTGCCCAAAAGTACAGCCCATCGAGGCATGTGAAAGAACGAGCTCCACCCGTACACGTACAGCAAGTACAATCTCTACAACCCCGGGATTATTTTCCAAGAGTTGAGTTTTGTCAATGTTGTAGAAACCGGGAAGATCCGCGATTTTTAGAGAAACATTTATGAACTGATGAGTCGACAGTTAAAAAAGATGGTTACATGAATCTACACAACTTACACGAGTGGCATGTAGAAAATCCACATTTGATGAGGCAAGATAGACCACAGTATCGTTTTAAAGTAAACATGTGAATCGGGTTCTAAATGGGATAATCATTGTACCCTTTGAACTGTCGACTTCTTGAATGGCGAAATAGAATTTAGACTTTTTAAAAAATCATTTACCAGATTTATTGGAAGACGTGCTACTAAGCATTTACAGATAGCACATGTGGTACTAGAAAGACGGGTGCCCGTTCAGATAGAGAATATCTTGATGCGGAATAGAGTACAAATTCGTGCAACTGACTTAAATCCACTCGATTTTCTTACTGCGGAGCGGCGAAAGAAAAAGTTTACTCAATTCCAACAAAAATTTAGCTGAAGCAGCTGAATTTGTTAATAACGGAAGGTTCGCCTGTCTGATGATAACCCGATAATGTTTAAGATATCAAGCTTGCATTTCTGCTAAAGGAAGGGTGTTTGAACATTTATTGTAAATTTAATAAATACATTCACGAATTAATAAAAGTGGCTTTACTATCTGTCTTGCTGTCACTATGTAGAATGTCACTGTCCCGCACTCTGTCAAGAAAAATTGAAATATGTTATAATGGGATTATTAATATTTCAATTCTTTTAGTAAATATCATCACAGGGTATATATTTTTCCGATTTTTTCAAACCCTATAATTTTGAAAAGTACCAACACGACTTAGGTTTTTTCTTGATATTTTTCTGATGAACTATTATGACTTGGCCTATCTCCCGTTTCCGGCTTGACGTCGATTTCTGGGACACCGTGTATATAATTTGACCTATTTTAATGTTTCTTATATCTATGTTATGACACCATGAACATCGCGCTACAGTATGTGGCTTTAACCACAACCTCAAAACGAGACTGGCAGTTGCTTCGATGATAACCCAATTGCGAGGCAACCGGAGCTGAAAACGAGTTAAAATCGGGCTGTTTTTGTACCTTAAGATACATTTAAAAAAACATGTAGCTTATTTTTTTGCTATTTTGTATCTGTTAATGTTGTGATGTGATTTGATTTTTTCCATTCCAGAATTATATGGATTCGCTCACAGTGCACCAGTTACATCAGAGGCCCAAAGGAGAAGATGTTCACTGCAAAAGTTTACAAGTAGTGCACCAGAGCGCTACCACAATACTCATTCACTAGTTGTTAGTTTAGAAGAATTCAATCAGTTCCAAAGCAAGAACAGTTTCTATATCAGCGGTCAAAATTCTAATGGGGTTGTACACTCTATGTCTGGAAGTGAGCATACTGTGCAAAACGATTTTGTGACAAAAAGACGAAGAATTGTAAAAAATGTCTCAACTGATGATAATTTATTGACGAGAGAGTGTTTAGTTGTTGTAGAAAGGTGTGATGAAGCATACAAAAATCAACTTAGTAGAAGATCTCATTCATCTGATAATACATCTGTTAATTCAGTCTGTAGTAACGTGTCTGATAAAGAATTTGAAGACTTCTATGCTAAGAATCATCAAAGTGTTAAAGAACAGTATGCAACAGATAGAAGACAATTAGTTGTTAAGCTGACTAACATTGACATCAGCAAGTCTCTCAAAATAACTAACACTGCCAATAGTGATCTGCCAGAAAACTCCCATAATAAAGATTCTAGGAAATTAAGTAAATCATATAAAAGTAACAAGGTAGAGTTAAGTAATGATCTTGGGATAAATGTTACACGACATGATTGTCCTGTGAAGGACCTTGTGGTGAACTTGACACTTGACAAATTTGATACAAATACAGCTCAAACTGAACCCAAAATTGAAGAAAAAAATCTTGTTATAGAACTAACTTTAAACGATTTTATGAATGTAGACAAATATGAAAATTCTAGTAAATTAGTTGACGTATCTTGTCAAGTGAATGCAGTGTGTTCTCAGATAATTGATCTTACAGATTCAATCCAGAATGTTACAAAGACTGACCATAGATATAGTGAAACATTTACTGAAACTAAAATAACGAATATAAATAACTGTGATGGTAATGCAATACCAGAAGAAACCAATGACGATCAAGACCAAAGTAATTCTGATAACCGTTTGACGAATCTAGACAATACATTGTTAGATACTCATGGAAAACGTACAGAAGAAATGAAAAATGAAGTAGATAATTTGAACGAGTTGTCCGTCAATGGATCGGTAGATGTGATAGACAGCTCACTTATTGAGGCGCGTCGTGTAGAAGAAAATATTTTTAAAGTACCTGAACCTATCAAGAAGAAATCTGTCTTGCTGAGGGCGGGCAAACACTGGAGGAGGTCTCTAAGTGTTTATAAGAACGTTAGCATAATTTCGGAAGATGTCCAGGATGATGACGGTGCTTCTGGTAAGCTTAATGTGGGCAACATGCAAAGTGTAATAGATTTATCTACAGGGTGCGCTATCTTTTATGTCGGTATGTAAACATGAAATAACTTTGAAAACGAAAAACTGATTTATTTATTTATTTAGAGTGACTTCGAAGTTGAGTCATTTATTTTAACAGTGAGTAGATCTGATCAAAAGAAATGTTTTTTTCCTTTACCATTTTTCTGGTAAAATTAAAGTAACAAAGTTATAGCCCTTTGGAAGTTTGAGTACCGCCCTGCCTATTATATGCTCGTGTTTGGCGACAACGGATATAATCCGCCTGACCGGTTCATCGCATCGGAAACAAAAAAGCGAAAGAATTTGAAACGTTTATCACGATGTTTTTCGTCAGTCGATAAATCCTGAGTGAATAGTAGTGTGTTGCGTGGCTCAAACGAAATCAAAAATGGCACATGTTTACGAAAATGCTGAACTTGTGGACATGATTCTTATTTACGGGGCGGCAGTCTTTACAAAATGCTCCCGGATGCATCACGGATTTATGCGAATCGGTTTCCCAATCGAGTGCAACCAACCCCTCGTGCCTTTGTTAATGTAGTGCAAAGGGCTCGTGAATCAGGTGACTTAAGACCTCACAGGTGAGGGCATGCTGCTCCAAGACCGCACGATCAAATACAGGTCCGCACTGAAATACTTGTCGGGAGGATACTTTATTAAACAAGGTAACATTTTTTTTTATTTTTTTTTTATTTTTACACACATATTTTGGTTTATCTTCCTTCTACAATCATTATCTGAAAATTAATGACTCAACTTCAAAGTCACCCAGTATATATCGGGTACTTTTATTAAATCTACAACAAATCTACACAAAATCTATCAAGTGGCCACCTTTATTAGCCAAAACAAAATGTGCCCGTTTTGCTGCGTTTTCCATTACTTTTTCGAGCATCTCTGGTGGTATAGCGGCGATTGCGGTATGCATGTTTGCCTTGAGTTCTTCAGTGGTCTGGGGCTTACTGGCGTACACTTGACTTTCCAAATAACCCCACCAGAAGTCCGGTGGGCTCAAATGTGGAGACCTGGTTAGCCAGTCAATGTCACCTCTTTTTGACATCAGACGTCCAGGGAATTTTTGTTGCAGAAACTGGATTGTTTCACTTGCAGTGTGGCATGGCGCACCGTCTTGTTGAAACCACTAACCATCAAGACCTTTTTCACGCATTTGTGGGCAGACATAATGAGCCAACATCCACCGATATCGATTTCCATCGTCTGTTTCGTTTTCGTTGAAGAAAAAATGACCCAATGATGGTTTTGGCGCAAACGCCGGCCCAAACAGTCACTATCCGGTCATGCAACGGCATTTCGTGGATCTCATGTGGATTTTCCGTCCTCCAAATGCGGCAGTTTTGCTTATTAACGCCGCCAGAGAGCGTGAAATGTTCCTCGTCGGTCATCACAATTTGCTTCAAAAAATCAGGATCAGCATCAACCATGCGAGCGACTGTTTGGTCGTATTCCAAGCGACGTGGACGGTCAGTAGGCGATATTTGTTGTGTGAACTGCACCTTATAAGGAAACAAATGCAAATCATCCTTCAAAATGCGCCGCAACGTGGGTCCACTGATGAAAAAATGCTGTGCGCGGTGACGATACGACACTTCTGGGTTCTGGGCAACGCTGTCTCTGATCGCTTCAACCAATTCATTGCAAAGTCTTGGTCGTTGATGAACAGGAATGTTGACGATCTCCTAATGTCCCGTACTAAAAAAAATTCGAAACCAAACGACGGATAGTGTTTGCCACGATATTTTCGACGATATGCATGATGCGTTAACACAACTGAACGACGATTTTCAATGTACATTGTGACTATTTCGGCGCGTTGTTTCGGTGTAAAGCGATTCATGACTAAAATTGTAGTAAATTGACGTTTCAGAAATACGTACAACCAAATCACTCGGTTGATAAATATCAAAGTCATTCGATGTTTCAATACCGACATAAAAGATGGCGCACCCGGTATTTCGGGCTCTTGCGCCCTTGATTTCAGGATGATTAACTTTATTCTGTCTAAAAATGTATATTGATAGGTACTGAAAGGTACCTCGTTCATTCCTCTCCCTAGCATTACCGGTGAATTGTATTACCTGCAATACCTAACACGTTCCTAATAACAATATATTATACAGTATGATCTTATCATACTACAGGAGATAAGATTTGGATACGGATACATCTTTACGGTTTCTCTATTCGTCATTCTCTGTCAGAGCGGTCTGTAGGACCTTTGCTCTTGGTTGAAGTGTTGTAAGTCAGTAGGTCTGTCAGGTCTGGTTGCCCAGATACCAAAGAAAGTCAGGGAGAAAGAAGGGAGGAAGAAAGGAGGGAGAGCAAAGAAAAAAGAAGTGCGTCAATTTGAGGGGTGCCTTGGCACTGCTAATTAGTATTCGGCAATTTTAAATTGATCCTAAAATTAAAGGTATATTCTTTAATTCACCGATTGATCTACCGGTGCGACCGCTTACCCAATTTTGCGTTCTTTAATTTCCGCTGGAACGACCGGTTGTACATCAAACTTGTCTTTATATTGATGGTGAATATGCCACCGGTGCCAACAGCGTCCACCGACGTTCGGGCTCGGTTGATCCACGATATTCTAACCTCTACATTTTATAATTTTTTGAAAACCACAGTTTTGTGTGAAAAAATGGAAGAAGAAAACTTTGAAGTTATGCTACAGCATAGGAGGGGCGTGAAATTTTAATGTTTTTTCCAAATAAACAGAGCGTCTGAAGGCAAGTGATTTTATTTTGAATTGTGCATATCTGAAAATTTTTTCTTTCTCTTCACTGGATAGCTTCTTCATTCGAATCATCACTCGAGTCGCTTAACAAACGTGCCACCACGATATCAACTGCTCCGTACATTGCCATGATTTTAAATGATACGGAGTTCAAATTAACAAGTATCCATTCATGATAAAACAAAGGATAGTTTTTCTCATATGACAGCAACCTGAAATCTAAAAATGCGTCTTTTTATTAACCACCATTCAACGGAACCGGTTGCTGACGTCATCACATCAGCTGTCAACCATAAGTTCACCGGATCTAACAGTGATGGTATCAACCGGTGAATTAAAGAATATACTTTAATTTTGGGATTGGTTGTTGAAGAAAAATTATAATTTTGGTTGGACCTAAAGTCGCACGATTTAATTTTGTTCACAGTGCGAGTCGCGGCCTTGTGTGCTTGCGAACATCTTTACGGTGTTTTATTCCGTTATTTCGTATTAGTAGAGCCCAAGGGACTAAGTGGGTAGTTACTGGAGCATCGTAGGGACCTATTGGGTTTTGAAAATTAGATCGCAGAAGGAAAAAAAATGAGTTATATGGTGCATACCCTTATAGTGGTGGGGGAGCGTCTATAGGCCGTCAAAAATGCAGAAAAAGATGGTTACATAGAAATCCTCGAGCGTGTCAGATATTTATATTAAGTGACATATAAATCCGAACACCCAGTTTAAATGGTTTTATTTTAATAAAAGTTGGTGAATGTATTTATCTTACTGTAAATATTAAGTGAAAAAATTTTCAGCCTTATCAGTTGGACATTCCGGTTTTTATACTGCTTTTTTTTAATTCACTAACGCTCTAAAAATGAATGTTTCAGCCGCAGTAAAGAATCAACGTTGGCGGATTTTGGTTCTTGACATCCTTTACGATCGGTTACGATGCCTAGAGTACGGAGACCTGTACGATTTCGTTAACTTAGTGAGTTTGATAGGGGCCGTATAGTGGGACTTCGGGAAGCTGGACTTTCTTTTCGGGCAATTGCAGTTAGAGTGCAAAGAAGTGTAGACACTGTGGTTAGGTGTTGTCAGGCATCGCTTCGAGAAGGCCGTACGCAAAGAGCAAGGGGCACTGGACGCCGCCCTAGAACAACAGACCGTGAAGATCGCCGCCTAAGATTATTGGCCTTAAGGGACCGTTTCTCCACTACCAGGTCCATTGCAAATGAATGGTTTGCAGAACACGGAAGACCTATTGGCATGCGAAGTGTTTACCGACGAATGAGAAGTTTTGGCTTGTTTTCATACCGGCCACACTGGGTCTTCCCTTTAACTCGAGAACACCGACGTAATCGCCTTGAGTGGTGCGGACAACGGTCACTCCGGAATCAGGAATGGAACACTATTGTCTTTAGTGATGAGTCTCGATTTTGTTTAGGCATGCACGATGGTCGTGCCAGGGTTAGAAGGCGACGTGGTGAAAGGAGGAATCCACAGTTTTTTGTTGAAAGACATGTTCATCACACTGTTGGAGTTATGGTTTGGGGTGCTATAGCTTATGGTTCCAGGTCACCTTTAATCTTCATCAGAGGTAACATGAACGCGCAGCGTTATATCCACGAAGTTCTAGAACCCCATCTTTTACCCCATCTTGATACCCTGGCAGAAGCAGATCCAACTTTCCAACAAGATAATGCCCGACCACATATTGCAAGAGTCACAATAGACTTCTTTCAACATAATGATGTCACATTGTTACCATGGCCACCAAGATCTCCCGACTTATCCCCAATTGAGCACGTGTGGGATATGATGGGTATTAGATTGCTCAATTTGCAACGTCCTCCTCAGACTCTAGAAGCACTTCGAGAGGAGTTGGTGGTTGCCTGGAATGAGATACCACAGGAGGACATTGACCACCTGATCAGAAGCATGCCTAGGCGCGTTGGAGAATGCGTAGCACATCAGGGTGCAGCCACACATTATTAAAGGTCAAAGGGCTTTAAAGCAGTGCAATCATTTTGAAATTTTTAGCATTTACTTATTATGCTTCATTAAGTACTTATACAAAATTTTATTAAAATAAAACCATTTAAACTGGGTGTTCGGATTTATATGTCACTTAGTATATTATACGAGATTTGTCCGGAAATACGTATAAACAATTCGGGGCGTCGTGTCAAGAAGTTTTGGAGGGATGGCTCGGTAGTACCCTCTCT